CGTCCAGGCTGCCGATGCAGTCGATCTAATGCGAGACCAGAGTCTGGCCATATGAGGTAGCATGCCGAGGACCCTGTCGCCTCCAGACTTCTTGGCGGCGAGAGCTGCAATAGTACCTGAAATTTGTAGTGGCCAGATGCCTGCTTGCTCTACTGAGTTGAGGATATCTGCATAAGCTTCGACTGCTGGTTCTGGTAGTCGATGGAGGTCGCGAGGTCCTAGGGCGTCAACTCCGTGTGCTTTACTGGGTGGCATGCGGCCGTGAAAGCGGTGTACGATCTCGGCTGTGATGGGCTCGAGCGGTTGATGAGCGGCTGCTGCCTTGGCCTTTGACAGGGCCTGTAGGATGTCGTCAGAGGTCTCGGTGGCTTGCCATACTTGTTGCCATTGTTGCTTCTTGTTGTCCATGATGACGGTGGGGTCGGCGATGGTCAGGTTGGCCGTGTAGGCCTCGATGTGACGTACGGGCGCTGGCTTGACATGGGCGTGTAGTACTCCAGGGCGGTGCTTCCATTGCTGGGCGAGCCAAGCCCCGTAGGCCCTCTTGGACTTGGCGAGGGCGGCCGAGAGAGCTCTGGAGGCCCAGGTAGCGGTAATGGTGACCAAGTCGTTGGTGTCATCCTTGTCCAAGTGCGGGGCCCAGACGAGTGCAAACCAGCGGAAGATGGTGTCCTCATCCTTCTCGAACTGGAGGTCGTGCAAGTGAGTGCTGAAGTGGTCCGCGCGCTGCTGGATGATGGAGGCCTGCTGCTGCATGAGCGCTGTGTGCTTGGGCTTGTCGTGAAGCGCAGCGTAGCGCTTGATGAGGGTGAGCGTGATTGCCCACCATTCCGACTGAGGGTCGTGTACGTGTACGCGGCCTGGGGCGGCGGCTGTCTTCTTCCAAGATAACTGGTAGCCTTGGGCTCGTCCTGTGTATGCTGCGGCTTCCTTCGGGTCGATCTGGTGGTGGCTGATAATGGTGTTCTCGAGCGCCGTGACCCATTTGGCGTACTTGAGGTTGAGGTCGTCGGCGTCGTGTACCCAGTGTTTGTACACGAAGTGCGCGTGAGGCTGCTTACAACGTGTGGGTACCGCATCCTGCCATTGTTGCTCCCATAAGTCCATCGGGATAGCATAAGGGATAGATTCATGTGCTGCGGGCTCGTCATGTGGCTGGAGCTGTGCTGCTGCTTGTTGGAGTTCAGGAGGTAGATCACGTAGACGTGCTGCTCGAGCTTCAGCTGTTTTACGTTTCTTGATGGCGACCTTGCTGTTGGGGTCTGGCGGGATCCTGGGTCTGTCCACTATGGGGAATGCCTTGGGAGTGTCGGTCGACTGATACCACCAGGGGTCTGCGCTGCCTGCTCGAACTTCAAGGCCAACATGGGTGGCCCAGGGTACGGTGGGGCACTGGCGAATGGAGATCGTGTGCTCGATGCCAGTCTTGACCAGTGCGAAATCAAGCGTGAGTCCCTGGCCCTTGTCGCGCGTGGCGGATCCAGGTGCTCGCGCGATGGTAGCATTCCATTTGGCGAGCCACTCTGTCGCTGCGAGCTGCTCAGGTGTCATATTCCAATCGGCCAGGATGATCCAAGGGTCCGTGAGCATAGTAACGAAGGCTCCCAGGGAAAGTAGCTTATCATGCACCGCACCCTCGATCTGCCTGTGGGGTTCCAGATGCGCTGCAATAACAACTAGGTTGCCAGAGCGTCTGTGCCATACCATGGGCGTGAAGCCGAGGAGCGGGTCGGTCCTGCGCTGGGAGATGGCGAGGTCACGGAGGTGGTTGAACGTGGTGGCCTGGACATGGTACCTGGAAAGGATGATCTCGCCACCCGTGTTGCCGCCGTCTGATCTGCTGGTAGGCGTGGCCGTAGTCGATGATATCCTCCAACCGTCGGCTGCTAGCTTGTCGTAGATGAGCGGGGCTTTCCCAGACGAGATGTGTGTTTCAACCAATGCTACCATCTGGTATTGTTTGCCTGGCCCTGCCAGCCATTTCTCCGACTGTGGTCCCCACTGAGTAATGTTGGAGAAGAACAGGGAATGGTCTGACAGTGTGGGCTTCGTATGGCATTCGTCTTGGTAGGCGGGTCTGGGGTCGGCTCTCGGGCTGCTGGGCTTCCAAGACCATTTCCCTGCGGTCGTGTCGACAGCTTTCGCCATCTCATCGCCCCCTACCAAGGACTGCGTCTTGGGCGGGGCGGCATCAGGGTTTGCCTTTGGAGAAGGCTCCCCTGGTTCCTGTACCACATGCACGTCGACAGCTTGAGCCGTCTCATCGCTCCCTACCGAGGACAGCGTCTCGGGCGGAGCGGCATCAGGGTCGGCGCGCGCTGCGCGCTGCGGCTGCCCTGGGTCCCATGCCACGGGGTCGACGGACTGTGCCGCCTCATCGCCCCCTACCGAGGACAGCGTCTCGGGCAGGGCGGTAGCGTACTGATCTGTGACTGCGAAATCGATGTGGGCGTCCAACTCGGCCAGCTCGTCGAACGGGTCGAGGACTGCGTCCATTGTGTTGATGATCGGTGGTTTGTCGTAGCTCTTGGTCTCTGACGGTAGGCGTCCCGTCTCACCATACCGTCCAGGGTCGGGTTGTAGGCGGCTAAAGAGGCTGCTGCGCTCCAGCCGCGGCGGTCGCAGTGGGCTTGCGCATCTGGCTGAGCATCTTCTGTGCCTTGTCTTCGAGGTCGGGGTCCTTGTTGAGCGCTGGCACAGGCTGTGTGGCATAGCCGCCGTCAGAAGTAGCGCCAGCAGCAGGTGCGGGAGGCTCATCGCTTGGCGCCGCTGGCGAAGAGGGCGCAGTGCCCTCAGCGTCCGCTGCGGCTGTCGCCGGGGGTTCGCCTGCTGCAGCCGAGGCGGCGGGCGGTGGTCCACCTCCCTCTCTGGCGTGTCCATGCTCGTCCGCGCGCTGACGCTTGGAGGCGAAGCGCGTGCGCATGGTGCTGGCCTCTGCGCGGAGCTGGCTGATGCGGCTGGCGGTGTTGCCGAAGAGCTCCGTGACCTTGGCCTTGAGCTCCGTGGCGAAGCGCTGTTGGAGGGATTCCCATGCCAGGCGGTCGCTGTCGTCGATGTCGAGGCCTTGGAGATCGAACGCCGCACCCGCTTCGATAGAGATGTCGCCGTCCTCGAGGAGGCTGGTGAGGTTGAGCGTCGGGTTCTGCTGCGACGGCGTAGGAGTAGCTGTGCCGCCCTTGCGAGCGGCTTGGATTGCATCGAGAGCCGCTTGGGCCTCGGCCTGGGCTTCTGCCAACTTGTAGGCGGCCTCCTCCGACGCCTGCTTGCGCTCTGTGTACCAGCTGAGCGCCTTTTGCTCGCTCTCGAGCAGCCTCTCCAGGTTGTTCTTGCAGCGGCGCTCCGTAGCCTGGGCGCGGCTGTAGATGTCGTTGAGGTCGGCTGGCTTCTGCGGCTGGGGCGGCGGAATCTGCGACTTGATGCCGTCGATGGCTGCCTTGTCGATGTGGGGGGCGATCGCCTGGAGCTCCGCCAGGATGTCCTCGGCGGAGCGAGCCTTGGGGGTGTCGTTCTTGCTGGCCCACCAGTCGTCCTCTTGGTCCTTGCCGTTGCCCTTGCCGCGGCGGCGGCGGGACTTGGGCCATGATGACCACGGTTCCCAACTTCCCTCGGGGCTGGACTGCTGGGTGCACTTGGACTCGGCCTGGGCTGCGGCTGTGACACGGGCCGCCCAAGCTCCTTGAACCGGAGGCGGGGCATCTGTCCACGGCGCCAAGGCTTTGCCACACCAGTAGCACGTCTGCTTGGTTTTCCAGTTCCAGGCGTACGAGCAGGAGTAGGACTTGACGTAGGCGCTGCGCTGCTGCGGGGGCGCCATGGACGAGCTGAGGAACAGAGAAAGCTCACCTGCGGGCAGCAGGAGGCACACGGAGAGTTGAAAGCTGTCGGGCTCAAGAGCCCTGGCACTGGCCGCGGACTACCGGTATCCACTTGTTCCCCTGCGGAACTAGGCATCTTGAGCCAAAATGGCTACGGAAGGAGGAGGTGTAGGAGGAGGAGGAGGAGGAGGAGGAGGAGGAGGAGGAGGAGGAGGAAGAGGAGGAGGAGGAGGAGGAGGAAAGGGAAGGGGAGGAGGAGGAGGGGTGAAGGTAACCTGCTCGCTGATAAGACGGTCATGGAGGCCGCCAGCTTCACTCGAGCCCCTGTGCGCTTTCGCGCGTGTTTCAGCTCGCAGGCCAAGGTACTGTCGTTCCTTACTGTATGGGTCGGGCGCATTGGCTGCAAGATGGCCGACCTCGACTGTCTGCTGTTCCCCTGAATGCTCGCAGGACCCGCAAGGAGGCTAAGTCTCAGTGCGTGGCTCTGCCGCCGCCCGTGGTCGTGCCGCCCATCCTCTCAAGGGCTGACGTGGCTCTCGCCGCTCTCCGCCGCGAGGTCCACCGCACGCGTTAGGCTTTCCCGATCTCCTTGGCTTGTCAAGCCCAGGGGCTCGTGTGTGCTGTCTGTGGTGCGGGGGTGGGCCTCTCCGCCGCTCTCGGAGGCCCATGCAGCGGTAAACCGTCTGTGGGGGGAGCGCGGGTGTTCAAGGCGCTCGCCGACGGCAGGTACCTTCAAGGCAAAAGCTGGGTGCCTCTGTCTGAACCACGGCGACCTAGGCTGCTCGTGGACACCGGCAAGGCTCTCCGTCCTTTGTGAACTCGTTTTTGGTGAGGGGGGCCCTGTCGCTGGCCCTTGCCTGGGCAGTCACACCCAGGTGAGGTGACAAAAAACTCTCGCTCCGATGGCCCCCCCCGCCGAGTTGCTGGCAAAACGGAGGGGACCTCGCTCCCCTTCCTCTTTAGCTCCGTGCCGAGGAGGAGGAGAAGAAGGAGGAGGAGGAAGCGGAGGAGGGAGGAGGAGGAGGAGGAGGAGGAGGAGGAGGCGGAGGGGAGGAGGCGAGGGGGGAGGAGGAGGAGGAGGAGGAGGAGGAGGAGGAGGAGGAGGAGGAGGAGCAGAGGAGGAGGAGGAGGACGAGGAGGAGGAGGAGGAGGAGGAGGAGGAGGAGGAGGGCCTCCCCGCCCCAGAGCAACGAGCAGTACCTCCTGGCCTCGGGGTGGCGCCTGGAGCAGGGCACCTTCGCGCCCGACGGCGGGGCCCGGGCGAAGGGCCGGGGCGAGCGCCTGCTGAGGCCTGGCTGCCCCTCTGCCCGCCCGTGCCGTCCCGCCTCGCCCTGCCTTGCGACGCGGGCTCGGCGCAGATCGGGTGCGGAGTCGACGCGGACGGCGGCCCGATGGGTCGGGTGCTGCCAGAAGTGTGCCTGGCCCGAGGTGCCCCCCCAGGATTTTGAGCAGTGGGAAACCGACCCCAGCCCCCACAACTATGGATTTTACATGCCAGTGTTTTGCATTCATGGCGAGTGTGCGTAAGTGTAATCGCCCTGAAGGCGAGGCCGTTGCCAGCTGCCACGTCGTTTAACGGTCGACTTGGTCCAAAGTTCCTCATGCGGGGGGCGCGGGTCGCTTTTCATGCGTTCGGATTTTCAGGGAGGCCCTCACGGCTTTTCGAGCACCCCTCACGAGGCCCAGAGGTGCCCCGCGTGGGGCCCCAAGAGGGGGCCAAGAAGCTGAAAGCACCTCTTCGGCCCGGGGGCACCCTTCGCAGCCCCCGCCTGGGGCAGATTTGTTTCAAACAACTATTTTGACTACTTGTGCATCTGTTTGACTATTTGTCGCTTTTCTTCCAAAATCCGCCTGTAGGAGGACATGCCCGACCTAATTCTAGGCCTTCCAGATGGGGTCCGAGCAGATGGGGTCGGAGAATCGCCGCATCGCCGATGATTGGCGATGCAGTTCGCCGTGGAGCCCGATCTTCTTCACGCGGACGTCGCTGCGGCATCGCCGACGTCGCCCACGCATTGCCGATGCATCGACGCTGTTTCGCCGATGCATGGGCGATGCGGCGAGATCTTCCGATCCCATCTACTCGGACCCCATCTACCCAGACATGCGATGTCCAGACTTTTTCAGTGCGGGATCCCCTGAAGTCCTGACCCTTAACCCAGGGCTGGTTTTTCGCCCCGAGTCATTTTCTGATGGTCCCGTGGCCCGGCGAGGGCCCCCCGGAGGCCGAAAACGGCCAACAATCATCCGCCGTGAGTTTTCCACGACGCGAGCATGTTGAGGCCTCCGCTATATTCAGGCCCGGGCGTCCCAAGAGGAGGCCGAGAAGGGGGGCACGTTCGGGCGATCGCCTAGCTCTACCGAGGAGGGGGGGGCGGGGGGGGAGGATCGAGGAGGAGGAGGAGGAGGAGGAGGAGGAAGACAAGGAGAGGGAGTGGGAGGGTTGGGGGAAGAGGAGGGGGAGGGGGCTCTGCGGTCCGCCCCGTGGCCAGCCTATCGCCATAGGGTGCGGCTCCTCGGGGTGATCGGCCGAGGGAAGGCGGGCCTCGTCGGGCGTTCGGGCCTCTTTCGGGGGGCTGGCTGCCCGTAAGGGCTGGTTGGTGGTAGACAGGCATCTCCATATATATATATATATATATATATATCTCTTTGTATTTGCCTTTTTATTTTTCACGTATATGTATACTCATGTATATACAAACATATGTATATACATACACACATATATAGCCATACTGTATTTACACTCATATATGTATATACATACATTTCTACATACATATACGTACACACAACTATACAACCATATACGTATACCCATATACACACATCTATGTAACTATGTATATACAAACATATATACATACACCTACATACAATCATCTACGATTATGTATATCTACATATATATACAACCATGTATACATACACACATATATATGTGTCTATATGTATCCAACCATATATTCACACATAGAAATTACAGGACAGGTAGCATACAGGGATCAGATATGGACTCCCTGGCTAGTTTTAGTATTAGTATTAATAGTGGTAGTAGTAGTAGTAGTAGTAGTAGTAGTAGTCGTAGTAGTAGTAGTAGTAGTAGTAGTAGTAGTAGTGGTAGTAGTAGCTGTAGTAGTAGTAGTAGTAGCAGTAGCAGTAGCAGTAGCCGTAGTAGTAGTAGTAGTAGTAGTAGTAGTAGTAGTAGTAGTAGTAGTAGTAGTAGTAGTAGTAGTAGTAG